ACAAGTATAATTAATCTGAAAGGATTCTTAGCCTTTATAATCAATAAATACTAATTCTGAATAAATTGAGAAATAATTACTTCAGGGCCTAATATATTTATTTATAGGTTTTATAATATGCATTATTAGCTAATATTTTGATAGAATCTTCATAAATATATATTTCTTCTGCAACTCTATCTAAATCAATTGAATAAATGAGAAGAATCTGTTTTTTTAATCTATTCATATTTTAAGAGATGCAGTTAAATATTTAATTTTAAATCAACAATATCTTGCTAATTTAAAGTGACCTTTAGCTCAAAAGATTTTTTGTTGAGTCACAAATTGTGTGACAAAAATTTGCAGATTATATAATAGGTCTATGTAATATATTAATTTTTTACATATATTTGAAAAAGAAATAATACATACTAATTATCTCTTAACAAACATGAGAAAATGTGAAAGAAAGTTTACATACAATACAGAACATACTGTAAAGTAAATATTGATAATAAAAGTATATATTATGAAGGGCTGGTAGACTTGAAATTTTGAGATCATTAGGTATAAAAGTAACTACAGTCAAACCTTAATATAGCGAACTCTTGATATAGCGAATTTTTAAATCAAATATATTAAAATTACCTTTACTATAGTGAACTAGCCAATTAAATTCTTTAAAAAATTCGTTATAAGCTTATAACGAAGTTGATATCCAGATCCTAGAATTCGTTATATCAGGAGTTCACTGTATATGTTTTATGAATAGATTACCATGTGAAATAATGTTTCGGGCGAAACTAGTTTTACCCATTTGATCTACAAAGTATTTCCAAATTAAGATTTCAAATAGTTTTAAATATATAAGGCTAAACTGAAAGTATACTGGATAAAAAGTTTCAGATTTGAAAAAATGGTTTTGCCTGAAACATAAATATGAAAAGATATGAAAATTTTACTTGCATGCTTTTATAGAGCTTATGATAATGCTAATCACTATTTTTATCTTCTTATTTTTTTTAATAAGATATAAAATATATAAGAGCTTTCAGAAGTTCAGTTAACATTACCATCAAATATAATAGCTTTCATAATATAAAAGGAAATATCTATCAGAATAATTTGAATAATGGCTAATAATTGAGTAATAGGTCAAATCTTAAATATGATCAATAATATTAATAAAATTAAAGGTGCTAAGAAAATAACAATAGACATTTTTCTCTGTACAGAATTTAATACTATCAGGAATTTGAAGGAAAAGGGAGGTTATGTGTAATGTATTTAATAAGTGATTAATGTATTTATTGGAGAGAATTCCTAATATGATAATAATTATTGGAGAAATCTAACTTATCAATACTTAAGAATTGTTTAACAAGTGCTAAATGCATAAGTATTTTCATTTATTCTAAGTTAATATATGTATTCTATATCTCTCAATTAAATAGAAGATCCTGTTCAAATATCTTATAAGTTCTCTTATGATAGAACAGAACTTGAAGAGTGGCTAAGAAAAAAACCTCTTGATTCTTAATCACAATAACCTCTTATTAGTAATCAGATTATATAAATAGGAATCTTAAAAATGCTATTGATCATCACAAAAAACATTTTCTTCATTTTTCAATACTATATACAAATTAATATATACTATAATAATTAGTATTTTATTTGTATCATATAAAGTGAACTATTCACAATTTTTTATGTATTATTGCCTGACTTCTGACAATATTTTTTAGTTTATAAATAAAGTATTATTTTAGTTCTCATAAATCTTGATAAGTTATATGTATAATAATATAATATAATCACTAGATACGATACTTCTGTATTACATCTTAATTTTGCATATATATTAGGTAAAAGCATTAATCAATACAAAAAAATCTAACATTTCTCTCTAAACATATCCTACTTCAGAAGTAAATAATACTTTTATATCTATAAATCACTTTATTTGTAATTGCAATTAAGTACATAATTTTTTCACAAGCACAAATATATATATATATAAAAATATCTCCACAAGCTTCTTCATATATCTTATTAATAAAAGAAATTTTTATTAGAATAATATCAAACATAATTAAGAATTTTAATACAGAGAAGCTTATCATCAAGATTGAATATGCTCAAGTAGGTCTATTACTCAAATTGTATTTTAGTGATTCAATAATATTAACATTTTTTATTTCTTAGAATCTAATGTAACTTGAGAGTGCATATCAGACAGATAAAAAGAAACAGATTGCAGATCAAGCATTTAGAAATAATTATTTTGATCACATCTATAGTGTTATAATCACAGATACGAAGTGGCATTTTATCATATATATTCTAGATGGTATTTACTTCGCAAACGTTAATGAGTATCAGATTAATTTTTTTTTTAATTATAGATTTTCAGAAGAAAACTTTACCATTATTTTTTTAACCTAATTTTAAAGAAAATATTTCACAAAAATAGTTAGATTATCTCCTGCTATGCTAAAGATATAAGGAAGAAAAAATCCTGAATTATTTTAAAACAACATGAAAAGGATTATTAATATTATTATTAGATTATTGAAGGATCATATTAGTATTGATAGTTCTCCAGTTAGAAAGAGAATTAGGATCAAAAAATTTATTAAAAAATAATATACATCACAGGCTATATTCTGATCTTTGTATTTATTTTTTACATATATTAAATTTTTTTTTTGGTAAAATTTTTGGTGAATTTGATTCATCCAAAATCATATGAATTTTTATTTTGCATAATATATCATATTTTTTTATATACTAACAGACTATTAAATATTTTATATCTTGTATAAAAATACTATCTATTATGTTAAACACTTAATCTAATAATTTATTAAAGAGTTAAATATCGAGCTTTTAGCTGAGATTGCTGAACTTAGAAAGAAGTTTGCTAATAAGAATACTAAGCTTAATGATAAGAATGTTAAGATTACTGATCTTAGAAAAAAGTTTGCTAAGATTAAGGTTGAGAAAATTGAGCTTAAGGTCAGGATTGCTAGGCTTCTAAAACAGACTGTAGAAGAGAGTAAAAGAAGAATGCTGAACTTAAGGCCAGAATCAAAAAGTTGGAGAAAAACAAGGCAAATTATTTAGCTGATAATACTAGATATGATATTGAAAAATGTTAAATGATATGTTAAGATTACTGATCTTAAGGTTGAAGTAGTAAAACTAATAGATAACAATGAGAAGATTAAATAATAAACCCAAGATATTTTTTTTAAAGAAGTTATTAATGTACTTAACTCTGCTGTAGATTAGCTTGATAGTGATTCTGAGGTTTCATTTAAGCTTAAAATCCAGTTTTTTTATACAAGTGAGAAGAAGTTATTGGAGATAAAAAGATAAACACTTTCTTGAACAAGATGAATAAAAAAAAGGGTTAGTAATAAGATTAGGTAGAAGAATAGAAAGAAAATGAATAGGATTTAATTCAAAAATGATTTCATTCATGAAAGAAAAACAGCTGAAAGACACTTCACATATGACTGAAATTTTAACGAACTTGGTTCACCAAATAATGAGACTTCAATAGAGGGAAATGGAGAGCAGATGATTAACTTAGTCAATCTTCAGACATTATTAGTCTATATAAAATTGTGCATAATGTAAAAGAAGATATAATTAAAGCTTATAGAGAAAAAACTTTGTGTTGGCATTTCTAAATGCTTTTCTTTATAAGTAATTTTATAATATTCTATTATGATTAATATAGTTAAAATTAAATTCTAAAAAGTTTATCATAGATTAATCATAAAATTTTTATTATATTATTAAAAGATAAAATATATTATTTATAATATATAATTAATTTAAATCAAAAATTTCTTAAAAATATTAATTATTTATAAAAGTAAATCAGAAGAGAATTTATAGTAAATAAGCAAGCAAATTTGCTTGCAAAACCCTACAATCTAAGGGATAGATAGAGATGGTATGAATCAAGTATATTGTTATTGTATCTATGATATACAAATCTGTCTTATATGCAAAAAGACTGTGAAAAATATTATTTGATTTGTGATAATATCAAAGAACCCAGGTTCCTACTTGTTGAGGTATTGCAATCATATTCTGAAAAATCTAGTGTTAGCATAGCTAACAAGGATCTCCTGAAGTTTCCGGACAAATGTATATCAGTAGAGGCATAAAGGAATTAGAGTACCGGATCATGTGATCGATCACCTGAAAAATGCGCAGAAAGATATGCTGAGAGAAATACATATTCGTGATATTTTTTCTAACACATCTCGGCAAGTGAAGATGCACATATTGCAGTATGTAAAGTGCCGGTGAGATGAAACAGGTAGTTTACTTCATACCTTCGGCCTGGATGGGATATTACGCAATTAAGGTAAGTTTACTTTCGGTTGAGACTGAGAATTTGCAAGGAGGCGTCTTCAAAGTTGCAACTAATACCTAGTTTTCATTTCAGGATTTAGCTGGAAGGCGCTGTGTATGAAAGGACCAGTCGGAATATGAAAATATAAATGAAATAGATTAATGAATCGATTGGGTGTTAGATAGTGGGTATCGTTGGGTTAAATGATAGAGATTGAACGCAGTGAATAGGATAGACTATCATGTATCATGATCAAAAGTCCTGTACTTGATTTTATTCAATGTATTGCAAATAAAAATAAGTGTGTCAATTTCCAATATGATTGGTAGGCTCTCGGAGACTTAAGCAAACAATACCAAAGTTTTGCAACTTGAAGCACTTTCATTAAATGTTCTGTGAAATTAAGAGATTATAACCATTCCCGGCGAAAGGGAACTTTTCTATTACGAATGATTCGTGACTTTAAATATTACTTTTATAGACTGAGACCCTGAGGTCCTGCATGTGACTAACACGTCATTCGTAAAAAAATTATTTAAAGCAATCTGTAATTTGCGAATTTATTTAATTATTTTGCACATTTTATATCCAAATTATAAAAATTTATCTTTATCCTTACCCCTCAGGACACAATCAATGATTAATCAACATAAAAAAATTTCTTATCTTCCAAAAATTCCAATTTTTTGATTTCCAAATTGATAACTAAATACGCTCGTCCAATCGGCACTGGATTATTAGTACCAAGTGCGATATTCGCTTGTAGCCCTTGAGGGACATGGAACCCATTTGGGATGAGGTTTCTATTACAAATTCCATCCTGAACAGTATGCAATTCCTGGATGTCCCTGAAATGGAATATACATCTGCTATTTTTGTCCCTTCTCTGGTTGTTGTTGAGGTTATATATTGCGAATTGATCCATGGCATTATTATATGCAATCCATCCATAATTTGCGACCCAAGTAGGATTGGGTTTAATCACAATGATCGGATCCAATTTATCAGCCCCAGAAATTTGTTTGACATATTTTTTGACATTAGCGTTTTCCGCTTCCAGGAAGATATTTCGTACTATATCTTCGATAGTAGGATACAATGACAAATCAAGTTTTGCAGTGAAATATTAGAAATGATTAGAATATTTAATTAAGTATTGATTATTGAAAAATAGAATTTTACCTTCGTTCTCATTACTTTTGAACATTTTGAATTGTTGAGAAAAAAGAAATCCAATTTTATTTATCATTTGATTTATTTTATATTAATTTTTTTGTCAGATTTTAAAAAATTCTGATCTTTAAAAATCTCTTATATAACCTATTAGGTCATTGACGAATCCAATAATTGGCAATAAATCAATATAACTAATATATAGCATCACGACCGAAGGCTGGCGAACAACAAATGAAACGGATTTTAGTATGATAACAATGAATATAACGTGTATTGGGCGGTGAATAGAACAGACGCAATGAATAGGATAGACTATCAAGTATTAAGCGAAGCGCCTTTCGGCTGTGAGTCACTAACTTGTAATTTATTCAATTTATTGTAAAAAAAGCTTGCATGAATTGATAAGGATTGTTTATTCTAATAGTTTGATTGTATACACACTAATGCAAGGCAATTAGGGATGAAATTTTAATTCGTGATCGGTAAGTTGGATTAACAACGAAAAACTGGGATTTTCTTTGTTTTGCAATTATCTCTGCGGACCCTTAGTGTAATAGGTGCATCTGTTTACACTAATTTCGGGCTATTATTTCACCTGCAGATCAAAGGGCAATAAGATTGAAGGGAAAACTGTATAAGTAGGAAACGAGTGTGAAAGATGCATAGGAGCATTTATTTTCACTTTACAATTTACCACCACTATGACCGGTGAACCTTAAAGCACCATTATAGCCAGCAAACCTTCGATCAGCACTTCTGAGATACTACAGAGCATTCCCAACTTGAAGCACTGGCATTAAATTATCTTCGAAACCAAGACATTTCAGCTATTCCTAGCAGAATTCCGAAACTCAATCCTTGCAGTATTTGCCAAAAAGCAATCTTAACACATCGATTTCAATCGTTCGTTGTGTTGGATTGCGAATACCTTTTTCACAGGAGTATATTATACAGGGAGTAAAGAAGTACCCTTCCTGTTTTTCGTGTCCTGTGAAGGTTTATCTGATTAGAGAAGAAGCGGTACTGGCCTCTGGTGAATATCACTTTCGGAAAAAAACAAACTGATAGTCCGAGCGATGAAGCACTCATGAGAGCATTAGGCTTTATGAAGATGGCTCTCGTGCTAGACAAGGGAGTCAATCAAAGCAAGTCACTATGCAGGATCAGGCGACAAGCCCAATCATGATTGGGGATGAGGATGACGATGATAACTGGTCTAATTCTGTTGATAATCATGGTAATTCTAACGATGAAATCCTCACCACTAATACACAGAATAACTTGGAGAATCAATCTAATGAAAATAGCGGGATGACACCAAGAAGAATTTCATCAAGGCAGTCTTTAAGACGGACCTCTCCAAGGATCACTTGTGAACAGGAAAGATTCCAGGTTCTCTTGCAAGAGTTATCTACGCCTGCCAAGGGAGAGAAAGCTGAAAATGATGATGCTAAGGAGAATGGTGATGGAGCATCATCACAAAGCTTAGTCCGATTATATCAAAAGGCAACTCGTGCAGGATTACATGTTACAAAGGCGAATCAAGATGAAATTTTGTGTTGGTATAAACATGCTGAAGACAAATATTTTAACATTTTGAAAGGTAAAATTTTAATATTTAATGCTTTATTAATTATATATATTAGTAAATTTTATTTTATTTTATAGTTACATGAAAGAGAATTTTCAAAGTTATCAAAAATGGTTAGAGATTATTTAGCAATTTCTGGTATATTATTTAATATATATTAAATATTCTTATAAATTTTTGAATTTAATTATTTATTATATTAATAGATTCAAGTGTTCCAGTTGAAAGAATATTTTCTGGAAGTACAGAGTTAATTACAAATAGAAGGTGTAGCTTAAAATCAGATACAATTAGAATGTGTATGTGTTTAAAAAGTTGGTGAAAGTAAAGTAAAAAAAGTTATAAATATATATATATTTTTTATAGTATAATAATAATAATTTGCTATTTTTTTATATATAATTGAAATATTATATAACTATAAATAATTTTAGTTGAATTACATAAAATATAATTTTGTAAACAGGTTAATTAAAAAATTTCATAAAATAAATCATGTTAAATATTTTGATTGTAAAAAAATTAATAGTAAAAGTTGCATCTGAATTTTTAGAGTGACTAAAGTTGTTAGTAAAAATTGCATCAGAACTTTCAAAGTGACTAAAGTTATTAGTAAAAGTCATATCTGAATTTTTAAAGTGATTAAATTTATTAGTAAAAGTCATATCTGAACTTTTGAAGTGACTAAAGTTATTAGTAAAAGCCAAATATCAAGTTTTGAAGTGACTAAAATAAGTAGTAAAAGTTACATCTAAACTTTTAGAGTGACTTTTATAAAAAAAAATGATAGTAAAATTTGCATCTGAATTTTCAGAATGACTAAAATAAATAGTAAAAATCACATTTGAAATTTTAAAGTGACTTTTATAAAAAATAATAGTAAAAGTCACATTTAAATTTTTAGAACGATTAAAGTTATTAGTAAAAATCACATTTGAACTTCAAAGTGACTTTATAAAAAAATATTAGTAAAGTCATATCAGAATTTTCAGAGTGTTTAAAGCTAGTAAAAATCACATCTGAATTTTTTGAGTGACTATAATTATTAGTAAAAGTCGTATCCAAACTTTTGAAGTGACTAAAGTTATTAATAAAAGTTATTTTTAGAGATGGTAATGGTTAGTCATGATCAGTTAACAGTCAGCTAACAGACAGTTAGAGGCCTTTGACCGATCGATTAGTTATATTGACCAGTTGACTGGCCTATATAATAATAATATAAATTAAAGTTATTTTAATTTAAGCTTTAAATAATACTAACATGATATTTGTAAAGCTTTGATTTTTATATATTTTATATTTCTTTTAGGCTAACTTGATATGTATATTAAGTTTACTTTTATATTTACAGCATTATTGTGAACTTTTTTTAAAATATAAATTAAAAATTTTTATTTATAAAAAATTACATAATTAAAATAATTGTTAATTAAATGCAAAGAATTCTTGGATTATTAATTAAAAAATGTTTGATCAACCAATTGGTCAAATCAGTTAAAATCAGTTGATCAACCAGTCAGTCAGAAACCTTTGACCACCAATATCAATTACAGTTATAACTGATCATAACTAGTCATAACTGTAATCATTACATTCCTAATATCTAAGTTTCAAAGTGACTAAAATGACTAATAAAAATCACATTTGAAATTTAAGAGTGATTAAAATGGTTAGTAAAAGTTATATCTAAAGTTTTAGAGTGACTTTTATAAAAAAAATATTAATAAAGTTATATCCAAAATTTTAGAGTAATTAAAGCTGCTAGCAAAGGTTACATTTGAATTTCAGTGTAATTTTTATAAAAAAATATTAGTAAAAGTTGCATCTGAAGTTTCAGAGAGACATTTATAAAAAAATTTTAATAATGTCACATATGAACTTTCAAAATGATTAAAATATTTAGTAAAAATTATATCTAACTTTTAAAGCAACTAAAATAATTAGTAATAGTTATATTTGAATTTTCAGAGGTGATTTTATTAGATTAAATAACTGAAATTTTTGGATTAATCTGAAATATTTCAGTTCAAATCAATTCAGTTCAAATTGACTTATTTTAGATTTATTATCTGAACTGAACCATACTGAAAATTTTAGTTTAGATTAGATTAACCTCTAATCGAAACTGAATTGGAATTTTTGGAAATTTATACCTGATGCATCAAGAGATCTTACATACATAGATAATTATATTAATAATAAATTAATAAGGTGATTGAATATTACTAATACCAATAATGCTAATTATGTCAAGCTTTTCAAATAAATGATTAATGTAATAAAAAGTTATATAAAAATAACTGTAAACCTGCTTGTAAAACTTTTAAAACAAAGAAAAAAAAAATTAAAAAATATGTAAGTCTAAAAAGAAAAATCTAAAAGTGGTTAAGTCTATATAGCTAGAGTAAATGAATAATCAAATTCAGATTCTTCTGATAATGATATTTTTTTGTTAGAATTTAAAGATAGCTCTTTTAGTTTTAAAAGTTCTTTTTCTGAATCAAAGTCTAACTAAGGCTAAAATTAATATTATTATATTTTAGGCAAAAAAAAGGTGAAGAAAACAAAGACTCGCAAGTCTTATAAGAAATCCTAAAAGAATCAGGTAAAAGATATAAAATCTTCTCCTTTAACATTGATTCTTTATTTCTAAGAAGTAAAAGTAAATATTAAAGTCTCTATCAATCCTGCTTAGAAAAAATTATTGAGAAAATTATTGAGAAGATGCTTAATAAAAAGTTTAGCATCACCATATTCTTTTTAATCGCAGAATCTTACTTCTAAAATACTAATTGATTCAGTTTCTTTAGGACTTTTTGAAGATGATGAATTTATCAATGATCTTATGAAAATATATTTGATTCAGAAAAAGAATACTGCTATAAATATCATTACTACTAAATATAAAATTAAGCGTCTAGTAATTTCAGTATCTTTCAATTATAACTGAGAATATATCTGAAGGATCAAAGCTAAAATTAATACAAAAGAAAAATATGATCTATAGATATTGCTAACTTTTCTATAAAATCTCTTGGTATTGTCTGAAATGTTCTAGTAAATTTCACCCCTAAATGTAATATATATACCAATTTTACAATAGTTAAATATTCTAAACTAATGCTGATTTTACTAAACTTTTCAATAAATATTATTATGATTTGCTTACATTAAAGTGAGAATTGAGACTAAATATAATGATAAGAAATTTTTATCCTAGTTAATATACATAAGATTAAGAACAAGCTTGAGGTGAATTGTGTGAATATTACTTTTGAAAGTGATAATTTTTCAACCCTAAATGTATTTTATAGGAATCATAAGACTTAAGTGAGGATAGTATATTAAAAAAATATATAAGCTATAAGGAATTCAAAAAATGTTATTTACTAGTATCCAAATTATAGGGCATTATAATAATTTGTGTGATTATAAGGCTAAGTTCTAGTAGTTAATTTAGATTTAAGAATACAATCATTTGCTATAATCTCTTTTCTTTCAATATTCGCTTTTTTTTAAATAGCTTTATAACATTTTTATATTCTTACGAAATAATAAGTAATGAAATAGGAAATAATTCACTAAAGGTATTAGTTTCTTTTTTGACTTTCTACTTATTATTTCTGATAAACTATCTGAAACATGAAATTTAGACCTTAATACTGCTTATGTATCCTGTGTTTTGCTTAAACAAATAGAATCATGAGCTTAAGATGAATCAGAAATACTATGTTTTGCTTTTTTGTTTATACTAGAATTTCTGCCAATATATATTTTTTACTCTATTGTAACTGCTCACAATTATTCTATATATCATGAATACACTCATTATGTATAAGATAATCATTTACTATTATATATGTAGAGACTATACATGAAGTCGAAATGGATCATTTTGGATATCCGAAATGGTCGAAATGGTCAAAATCATTTCGACCATTGAAGGCTAAAGTCGCGAAATAGTCGAAATGATGTCATATTACATGATTTTTCATATTGAGAAAAAACAATAAACAAAAAATGTACGAT